GCTGTGAAAAGAATCCATCAAGCTTTTAAGTTGAAGAATGACATGATATATGATTTATAGTTTAAAAAGAAAACTCAAAAGGCATTGAGCAAGATGAATTAGAGTAGGGAGACCCTGGAGATAAAGAGAATGCTTACAGAGATTCTTAAAGTTTAGTTGTGCATAAGAATCACTTGAAATAAATTTTATATCTCTTGAACTCGTTCCAAAGAGTAAAGGACAGATAATGGTGAATTGTCCCTAGTGGACAAATGCTTTTAATGGAGTAGAGGAAATTATATGTGTTGTTCACTTGCCATGTGTTAGACAGTTTACTAAGCACATTACCCACAGCAGGATGGCTAAGACCACAAGTGTGGTAGATACCCGAAAGTAAGGCACCCCCCAAAAAAATAAGGCCTCCCGGAAAATAAGGCCCCCCAAAGCTACTATAACTCTGTACTGTAGCGGTGGGTGCCACCGCGCAGTTCACTCTTGGCCGCAGCACAGCCCGAGCAGACAGGAAGTGCGAAGTCTCTTTTAAGAAAAAAATAACCAATAAATGTGTACTGTATTCTTCTTCATGGAAAACTAAGACATTCCCTGAAAATAAGACCTAGTGCATCTTTGGGAGCAAAAATTAATATAAGAGACTGTCTTATATTCGGGGAAACAGGGTATATAATCGTTTGTCAATTTGAGGATTAAGAGTATAGGGGTGGAGTCTAGCCTGTCAATCAGATCATAGCCAATGAGGCCTCTGTGTGGGCATGGCCTTCTCCTGAGAATTCTGGGAAATTCTGGTATTTCCTCCATGGAAGTGGGAGACTCTCTGCTCACACCCTGGGAGACATAGCAGCTGACAAGACACATGGACCCACTCTGATGCAGCCCTGGAAGCTGGAGAAGCCACGGGGAGACCCCTGCCAGTGTTGAGATGTTTCCAGTGCCACTGGATCCAAAAACTTTCTACCCACTAGCCTGTGATCTTCTACATTCGGTGTCATTGCATGTGTTTCGTGAGTCTGAAGAGGACTTTATAGATTGGTATCGGACATATGGGCTAATATTGGACTTATGAACTTGATCTGGACTGGACTGGGATGTTTTCCCAATGTTCAATTGCTCTTGTATATAAATCTCTTCCTAATACACATATGTGTGTCCATGGATTTGTTTCTCTAGTCTACCCAGACTAACACAACAGGATTTTTAGAAAATCCTGAATATAAGCCCTCTCTCCACTATGTACTAGCTGGGTGATCTTGGAGATATTGCCTAACATCACTGAGTTTGTTTTAATATATGTAAAATAAATTCTTCTTCATCATTATTTTACCTTACATCTAATACATGCTCAATGATAATGAATATGGCAGTTATATCAATTTGCACTTGTGTAGGGGTGGAACCCAGCTTGTCTATCAGGTCACAGCCCAATGATGCTTCCTGAGAGGCATGGCGTGCTTTCTTTCTATTTTTTTGTGTGGCTTTCTTATAAGAGGGATACATGTGGACCGTCTGAGCCTGTGAGCTGTTGAGCCCCTTCCATGTCTTCACTAACCTTGTATCCATACAACTCTGCACTCACTGGCCTGTGATCTTTCCGCATCCGGCTTCACCTTTCTGTGTCATTGGCCTGCAGGTACAAGAGTCTGAAGAAAGCTCTGGTTAGCATTGGACCCATGGAGTTAAGTTGGATTGGGTTGGGATACCTTTTTTTCCCCCTTAAATCATTTTATTAGGGGCTCATACAACTCTTATCACAATCCATGAATACATCAATTGTGTAAAGCACATTTGTACATTCTTTGTCCTCATCATTCTCAAAACATTTCCTCTCCACTTAAGCCTCTGACATCAGGTCCTTATTTTTCCCCTCCCTCCCTGCTCCCCCCTCCCTCATGAACCCTTGATAATTTATAAATTATTATCTTGTCATATCTTGCCCTGTCCGACATCTCCCTACACCCACTTTCTGTTGTTTGTCCCCCAGGGAGGAGGTCACATGTAGATCCTTGTAATCAGTTCTCCCTTTCCAACCCACTCTCTCTACACTCCCAGTATCGCCACTCATACCACTGGTCCTGAAGGGATCATCCGCCCTGGATTCCCTGTATTTCCAGTTTCTATCTGTACCAGTGTACATCCTCTGGTCTAGCCAGACTTGCAAGGTAGAATTGGGATCATGATAGTGGGGGGGTGCAGGGAGAGGCATTTAGGAACTAGAGGAAAGTTGTATTTCTCATCGTTGCTACATCGTACCCTGTCTGGCTCCTCTCTTCCCCGAGACCCATCTGCAAGGGGATCTCCAGTGGCCTACTAATGGGCTTTGGGTCTCCACTCTGCACTCGTCCCCTCATTCGCTAAGGTAAGAATTTTTTGTTCTGATGATGCCTGATCCCTGATCCCTTCGACACCTTGTGATCACACAGGCTGGTGTGCTTCTTCCATGTGGGCTTTGTTGCTTCTGAGCCAGATGGCTGCTTGTTTACCTTCAAGCCTTTAAGACCCAAGATGCTATATCTTTTGATTGCCGAGTACCATCAGCTTTCTTCGCCACATTTGCTTATGCACCCATTTGTCTTCAGCAATAGTTATCAGGGAGGTGAGCACACAATGGTATGATTTTTTGTTCTTTGATGCTTGATAACTGATCAGTAGGAAACTTTTAATGGCAGTGGGGCTTAGTTTGGGGATATCTATCACTCAAAGTCACTGCCATTGAGTCAATGCCAACTCATAGTGACCCTTTAGGACAGGGAAGACCTGCCCCTGTGAGTTTCCAAGACTGTAGTAACTCTTTATGAGAGTAGAGTCTTGTGTCTCCCATGTGGTGCCTGATGGTTTCAAACTGCTGACCTTGCAGCTAGCAGCCCAATCGCACTGTGCCACCAGGGTTCTTGAGAGCATTTCAGCTCCATCCAAGGGTGACTATGAGTAGAAATGGACACCGTGGCAATAGGTTTTTGTGGGACGAGGTTCCTAGAACATAAGTCCTTTGGTTTTCATCGCACGAATTTGCAATAGTATTCCATCTCAGAAGTGTATCTTTGGTATTAACCTTTTGAATAGATATGTATACAAGGGGGCTTTAAAATTTTGTGAATTGATTCCATTACCATTTGATTAAAAATGTCCATGTCCTTTTAAGAACATCTTTATATATGAAGTCTAGAGTGGTATAACTGGTTAAGTGCTTGACTGCACATGGAAAAGTTGGCAATTCTATGCTACCCAGAAGCTCTGCAGGAGTAAGACTTGGTAGTCTGTGCTCTTCAAGAGTATAGCCAAGAAAACCCTTTGGGTCAGTTCTCTTCTGCACATGAGATGACTGTGAGTCAGAATCGATTTGATGGCAAGACCACAGCTGTTTCTATCAGTTGCCATTGAATTGAATCCAATGCACAGATACCCCCTAATGTGCTCCTGTGGATCAAAGTAGAAATATGCTCCACGGTGTGTTTGATGGTTGAATGTTGGGGAAATGATAGCCAGGTCTTTCTTCAGAGTGGCCTCAGGGTTGACTTGAACCTCCAATTTTTTGATGAATAGAAAAGTGGGTTAATCGCCCAGGGAGATGGCTAGTGAGGTAAAGATAATGTTAGGAAACATGCTAAAAATTGAGACTTTTTAGCATGGGTAGAAAAGGCTCATTTTACATTTTAGTGGTGCATATGCCTTCAAAAGTATTTATTAAATGTGCTTGTGTGCTCTTATTTTTTAAATGCCTATCCATTTTATTAAATAAAAGTGAGTTAATGTGCCAACTTAAACATAGATGTCTCCATAGTGGGTGAAGATTTGTCATTTATCTTTTAAGATAATTATGCAAATTATGCTCAGCTCCCGCATGCTAAATAGGAAAAGGGATTTTTATCACGTTCCCCTCATTTATAAACCTCATCTAATAAGAGTAACCCAAGATTCAGCACGGAGAGTACAAAGCTGAATTTTGGCAGTCCCTTTACAGCAGAAGAGAATCGATTTCCCTCCTTAGGGTCTCCGCTGTCTTTAACAAGGGCATACAAAACACGCAGCTCATTCCCAGAGCATCCGAGAAGTTCTCTCTGGAGAGAGCTTCGTAAATACAAGGCAAAACAACTTCAAAAAAAATTAATGAATCGCTCATCACCATTTGCTTTCTCCCTCCCCATCGTGAGCTCCTACTTTTTCTACTTTTTGCATACATCTTCTCAGATTCAAACATCTTTCCTCCTTTGATTGTTCCCAAGGCGAGCGGCCTGTTCCGGGCACTTCAAATGGGAAAGGGAAGGGAAGAAAGCCATGCAGAAATCAAGGGCAGCATAAGGGGATGAGACATCAAACCAGGCCTTCTCCAGGAAGCTCCCCTGAGCTTCTGGCTTTTGCTGCCAGACCACTCTCCTGGCGAATCCGAATCCGTGGTTTTCTCAGGAATGCGGATCAGGGTTTGGCAGTAAACATAATCCGTGAAAGTGCTTAAAGGTCTTTAAAGGCGAAGGCATTGCTTTCAATGCACATGGTGAATTTTAAACATGACTGTGCTTACTCTTGGGATTCACATGGAGAGGCTCATAGCGTCTTGGTAATTCCTGGGTCACTTGTGAGTGACTTCAGCTACAAGCTACACCCCAGGCCAAGTCTGCCTTGCAGGCAGCATAGCGCCGCATCCCCAGTGCACCTGACACACCCGCAGGCACACATGAAACTCATAAACGGCAGGGTACTCGTCTATGTTCTTCCTTCCTCCCGGCCTCACCTTGCGCACGCCCCTGTTCTCCCCACCCCCAGCCTGCACCCACACAATGGGATTTGTGTTTGCTTCAGTAGCATGTGATAGTGCAGTCCCTGCTTTGCTTAGCTCTGGGCTGCAGGTCTCTCAGGTAACAGGTGGCAGCTTCCCCTGTTGGATTCTAGGTACAAAAAAGAATGACCTCATAGGGGTGGAGCTCTGGAACTCCAGAGAGGTGGCAGTCACCTGCAGGTAAACCTGGAGTGCAGCTGTTTAGTTAGAAGGGGGCTGTTAAACTTGTCCCTCCAGTGAGTTTAACCTTTACCCTGAAGCAGTCAGCTTTTGCTTAGAGGGCTCTAAGCTTGTCTACCCCACATGGAGCCCAAAGAAGCTACCGGGAAAGACAACCTGGGCTCCAAGAGAAAGAACCTGACCTTTCTGAGGTCCAGACTCTACATGCTGGAGAGAAGGAAGACGGACACTGTGGTTGAGCACAGTGCTCCCGGGGAGCACGCTGGCCCCCTGAGGAGGAGCCAGTCGGACAGGACGGAGTACAGCCACAAACTACAAGGTAACCCCACACGGCCAGGTGCCTGAGGGGGCTGGACTCCCACCTCGGTGTCGGCCACTCTTGCACTGGCAAAGAAAACACTTGGCCGCAAAGATACTAGAGGTCTGCCTCTCCTTCACATAAAATAAGAAAACGAAAGTATATGTGATTCGCAAATTATAGGATTGCCATTGTTATTTTGTGATTAATTCATTTAAGAGACAATCCCAATGGTTCTTATATCTTGGCACTTACCTTCCGGTGAGAGATTTTTTTTTTCCTGCTTAGCTTCCTTGTTTCCGCCTCGCTATTGCCAGCTTCAGAAGCACAGGAATGCAAGCAACTGAGAAACCTACCAAAAGAGTTTATCTCAATAAATATGTGTGAGGTGCCACACGACCCTGAGCGAGAGCTAGCCAGGTAACGGTACTGTAATTGCGGTTGTCTTAAGCAGAGGTTGACACTACCCATCAGGCCTGTAAGAACTGAGGGTTGTTGCAGTCAGCTGGATGGCATAGCAGAATTTGTGGGAAATCACTTCAATGGTCATTCCTTTAGAGCGACTCTAGCAACACCCCACTATGGTACGAGCTGTTCAGCATGCTCAGATTGAATGACTTTTGGGGAAATAACTCCAGGTGATTTTGTGATGGCCCTAAGATAACGTGGTACGGTTATTATAACACGTCCTCCATTTCAGAGCAGGAATTTTTGTCCCTTAACACCCTTCCTCCTCCTTTTTTTTCTCCCGAAGGTCACTTGTTCCTGTAATACTTCATTTTGATGTTGATATTGTGCAGCATTTTACAAATCCGCAGCAGCACCTGTTATATGATCCCCCAGAACCTGTCTCTCCGGCTTTGAGCACAATGAGTGTTTGAATGCTCACAAGCCCACCTTGAGCTGTCTTCTAGATTTAAAAACTAGGATGAGGTTAGAAAGACCAATGGACATGCTTTCATTTTCCTCAGAAACGTGCTCACATTGCATTGTGCAATTGAATTAAATTAATTAAGCTAAGTTAATTAAAGTTAAATCTTAAAAAATACTGCTATGAGTTAATGTTTTTAAAAAAATCCTGATAGCTTTGTATTAGAAAAGGTGCATAGTCACTTCTAATTCTGAAAGGCTTTTACAAACGCGGGGGTGAGGGCAAGGGCATTTAATCTGTGAAATTAATTTTTTTCAAAGTCATGGACACAAAGACTGTAGATTTTAAAAGTCTTACACACCTTTGGTTTAAAACCCTGCACCTTCAAGCTGCTATCTTCCTAAGACTTTGAACAAATTACTTGAGATGTCTGAAGGTCAGTATTTCTAAATGGGAGAAAGGGATAATGCTATTTATGTCACAGTGCTTTTTCGAGAATGAAATTAGATAATTATATGAAACACCTAGTGTATAGGTTGACACATTGTATGTGTTCAATAAGTAACAACTCAGCATGCTTAGGAGCTCTAGTGGCGAAGGAGGTTGCACATTGAATTGCTAAGCACAAGGTCAGCTGTTCAAACCCACCAACCACTCCTTGGGAGAAAGATGATACTATCTACTCTTGTAAACACTTAGTCTTAGAAACCTACCAGGGCAATTCTATTTTGTCGTAAAGAGTCACTATGAGTTGAAATGAACTCCATGGTAGTGGGTTAGTTGGATGGTACTAGAATGCACGGAAGTACCCGGGGTTGTGTAAATGATTAAGAAATCAACTGTTAATTCAAAGGTTGGCATTTGAAGCCCACCCAGAGGCACCCTAGAAGAAGGAGCTAGCAATTTACTCCCCCAAAGTTACATCCATGCAGAGTTCTACTCTGTACCTCATGTAACATGTTGTCACAAGTCAGGGATAAGCTCAGACAGCAAGTGTTTGTTGTTTGTTGCTTTTATTATTAACGTGTGTTTGATAACCTAAAAGTTGCAGATTTTATTCCACCCAGGGGTGTCTTGGAAGAAAGGTTTGGCAATCAGACATTGAAATCCCCGTGGAGCACAATTCTACTCTGATACTTATTTTCAGCCTGATTCTATGATAACAGTAGAAGCAACAATAAAATGCATTTTCTCATTAACATTTAAAGCAATTAGTTCTGTCAGTATGTTCTTTGGCATGTACAATAGCCACTACCATGCATATGGCCAGAAACCACCTTAATGAACTCTTTATTATTGAAATGTCAAAAACATTTTCTGGGCCTGCCTTGAAAGTGGCCATCCCTGGGAGCCAAGAATATTGACCTGGGCAGTGTAGACCTCTCAGATAGTGCTCTGTGCTCCGGAGAGTGGAATTTCCGGCACCTTCATAGTGGGTTGTCCTTCAGCTGTGGGTTACTATTTGTCACATAATTTGCTGCTCTTACTCTATCTGGAAGGAGCCCTGGTGGCATTACAGGTTAGGTTTTGGATTGTTCACTGAAAGGTCAGCGGTTCAAACCCGCTAGTTGCTCCAGTAGAGCAAGATGAAGCTATCTGCTCCTATAAATATGTATAGCATTGGAAACCCTACATAAAGTTGTTATGATTTAGAATTGACTTGATGGCTCAAATCTTACTGCCATCAGTTTGATTCTGACTCACAGTGATCCTACAGGGGAGACTTAAATGGCTTCTGAGACTTCAACTCTATATAGAAGTAGAAATTCTCATCTTTTTCCCCACAGAAGAGCTGGTGGCTTTGAACTGCTGACCTTGGGGTTAGCAGTCCAATTTGCAACCCACTATGCCATCAGGGTTCCTTGACTCCATGGCAGTAGGTTTAAACTCAATCTGCAAACAACTTCTTTGGACTTTAAGAAATATCAACTCTTTATTATACTTAGGCTTGCCTCTTAACTCATACTTCATAATCTAATTGTTCAATTTATAACAGATATCACTTTAATAGTGTAAATTAAAAGTTTTAGTTAAAAATAAAAACAACAACAATGTAGCTTAATAAAAGCTCAGCTGCAAGCTACTGGATTGGATCATTAGAGCATAGTTTAAATGAGACCATCTTTTTTTTTCTTTCTGGTTATGCTTTATTTAAATAAATACCACTGAATGTAGGAAGCTTTATACATAAAATGTTCAAACCTAAAATTCTCCATAATTTAAAAAAAATGACTTAGATTTTTATTCTCTTACAGTTTCTTTCTCCATCTTTATCTCTAACAAATACATTTTAATACTCTCTTAATTATTAGGAAAGTTGCAATATACATTCTAATGGGGTTAAGTATACATATATCATTACTATATTACAAGAGTTATTCAGTGAGAAAATAGGATTTCCCAAATTTCATATATGTACCCAGGGTTCATATCGGTGAAGCCCCTGTGATTTTTCTTTTTTTCTTGTTAATTTTATTTTATTTTATTATTATTTTTTAAACATTTTATTAGGGGCTCATACAACTGTCACCCCAATCCATACACACATCAATTGTGTAAAGCGCATTTGTACATCGTTTCTCAAAACATTTTCTCTCCACTCAAACCCCCGACAGTAGGTCCTCTAAATGAGACCATCTTAAAGACTTTCTGGGAGGTTGTGATTACATCGATCGTCATTTTCTAATCCATAATTTGTATTATAATAGTTTTATGCTGGCCTACTGTTCATGGCTCCTTCATGCTTTCAACAGATTCATTCAGTTAGTTGGTAGTATTTATTGAATATGTTATATTCCATATCTTGGTGCTATAATAGTGAGCAAAACCAGAATGAAAGCTCAGAAATACCAAATCCATTGCCATGAAGTTGATTCCAACTCATTGCAACTCTAAATGACAGGGTAGAACTGGCCCAATAGGTTGTTTTCTTTTCCAAGACTGTAACTCTTTACAGGAGTAGAAAGTCTTGTCTTTCTTCCTTGGAGTGGCTGATAATTTCAAACTGACAACCTTGCAGTTAGTAGCCCAACTCAGAACCCACTTCAACTCCAGAGCTCCCCAAAACAGGAGTTATAACTATACAATCACTAGGAAAAAATATGTGATTGCCAGACAATATCTTTTACGCCAAACAGATTTAAAGTCTGGTGGGGAAAGAGAAAACAGGTAAAAATGAAATGTAACAAAGAGGCAAGAGTTGAGATCAGGGAGTCTACAAAAGGAGGAAGATTCTAGACAGTATTGGGTGGGAAACCAGTTGATTCTGACTCAGGGAGAGCCTATTGGACAGGAAGAAAGTGCCCATGTGAGTGTCCAAGACTTATTCTTTATGAAAGTAGAAAGCCCTTCTTTTTCCCAGGGAGAGGCTAGTGGTTTCAAACTGCTGACCTTGCAGTTAGCAGCCCAACTCTTAAGCACAATACCACCAGGGCTCCCCTTTGGGTGCAAGAGATATTTGGAAAGTGCTGTCCTTAAGAAATGATAAGGGGAGTGGGGAGAAGATGATGGTGGTAAAATCAATTATAATAACATTACCAAATTGGAGTAGGCTCTTCCAAGTACAACTGGAACAGATCAATCACAAGACACTGAGGCGATGAGGGGGTGTAAATGACAATGGAGGTGGACATAGCTGACCTTCTCTGCTTCCCTGTTGCCATGAAGCACGGATCAGACATGCCTCCACACTCCATCTTTTACCTATTCTTTTTACCTTTTACCTATTTTTTTTTACTGGTCTTCTTTTTTTTTTTTTTAAATCATTTTATTAGGGGCTCATACAACTCTAACCCAATCCATACATACATCAATTGTGTCAAGCACATTTGTACATTCATTGCCCCATCTTTTACCTATTCTGACACCAACCGTACCTCTCACAGCTTTCTACCTCTATTCTGCCTTGGATAATTCATTGCTCAAAACTCACAGACAATATTCACAATTAAAGGGGTTTCTTGGGGAACTTCATAGGTTACCAGGAGCCAGGATAACCAAGAAATAAGAATATAGTCCCTTATTCACGGCAACACCTCTTTTCAGCCAGTAACCAAGTCTCTCTCTGGTCCTCAGTGTCAGTCACATGGTCACTTGGCCTTTGCCCTCCATGGGCAGGAAGCCAGCCGGCCTGTTGTCCTGCCTCACAGTT